GGTGCCAAAAAAAAAAAAAAAAAAAAAAAAAACAGTAAAAAATTTTTACTGACATTTTTCAAATACAACTGTCAGTAGTAAATTGTAACTCGTACGTAAACATTTCAGTTCAATTTTTTTAACTGACTCAATTTATTTATTATAATACTAATATTAAATAATATTTATTAATTTATTTTTACTGATAATGAGTAATTTTTTCACTGACAATCAGTTACTTCTTACCAATTGCAGAAGCAAAAAGTCAGTCACTGTTAATTAACAGTGATTTTAACTGATTTAAAATAAAAGAGTAATTTATTAATTTGATTAATTTGTTAATTTCATAAAAGTAGTAAAAGTATTTTGCAGTCAGACAGAACTCGAAAAATTTCAAAGGAATATGATGAATATGATTCATCGGCAGTATAAAATGTGTCCATTCTGTCCATAGAAAATTTATTCAAGATCAGTAGAAAAATTAGTTTTAGTCAGACAATAATATATTTTATATTTTTATTTAGTAGAAGAAGGATGTGTTTAGTAAGACAAAAATTTAAGTTTTTTAACCTTCGCGCTACCAACTGGCCACCCGGAGTGGTCAAACAATAAATAATGTTGTAAATCTGCTCGACTTTTGCATCAATCGAATCGCGATTTTAAGTCACTGAACAAAATTTTATCTACTTTCGCAAAATAAAAAATATAAAATTTTTTTTTACTTTTCTCTTGTTTATTTATAACAATTATAAAAATATGTACGAGACTACTGAAAATTGCCCGGGTGTTTATTTTGTATATTGCAGAAAAATAAAAATAAAATCATCAAAATTTTACAGTAAAATTGTTTTATGTCAATAAATACAATATATTTTGATGTTACAATGAATTTTTAATTGTTTAAACAAATTATTTTTGTTATTTACAAACTTTTTACAGGATGCCCGAGAAAGTTGCAGTTTTTCCTCATTTTGCAATTCACTTAACTCTATATGATTACAGATAAAGACTAACAATTAAACTATTGTTTAAACAATTTTTAAACAAATTATTGTTGTTATTTACCAATTTTTTACAGACTGTATGTAGAAATTTGTAGTTTTTTCCTAATTTTGCAATTTACTAAACCTTATATGAATACAGATTACAATTTATAAACAAATTATTAATTTGTTTAAAAATTGTTTAAATAATAATTCAATTTTTATTCTTTATCTGTAATCATATTATAGAATTTAGTGAATTGCAAAATTAGGAAAAAACTGCAACTTTCTAGGTGAATTCTGTAAAAATTTGGTAAATAGCAAGAATCATTAGTTTAAATAATTTTTTAATAAATACTTATGACTCATTTCAGTAAATATTCTCTTTAATTTATTGATTTTATACTAAAAGTAAAGCTAAAAAAAGAAAAGTTGTCAAAAATTTACTAATCTCTTTGTTTATTTGAATATTATATAATTTTGCAATAACAAATTGTTTAAACAAATGCAATATGCATAAAAACATTATTAAAATGCACTACTTATATTAACACATAATTATATAGAAAAACTTTGATGAATTTTAGTCGTTCTTGGAACATAAAAATAGAATAGCTTTGGCCACATCGATATTCCACGTATACAAAAATCTTTAATAGCACGAAAGTTAATAATGAGAAGTTTGAAAATTGGACTATTTCAAATTTAAATTTATTTAATTTCTTCAGCGCAAGTAATAAAAATCAGTTTTACAATTAGACTTTCTTCTTTTTCTAACTTTCTCATCAGTAATAAAGTAATGTCAGTAGTAATAGTCAGTTTAAACTTTAAACAAGACTGAAAAAATCTTTTAAATTTGTTGATAGTATCAAAAGTAGGTTATAGTCAGACACACTTTTGAATATTTGCAAATCGAATATTATATAGTGGTAAAAGTAAGTTTTATTCAGACAGAAACGTTTCCAAAGTTTCTTAAGTTTTTTATCAGTAGTAAAAGTTAATTTTCGTCAAACATTTATCATTTTTCATCAAGTTATCAATTTTTTTTTTTGCATTAAATCCATTCTTCTTTTTATGAAACTGTATTCTTTTTGTCTTTTACTATTTCTTCTTTTTATATTTTTCAATAGTTATTCTTTTTTTTATTCCTTTTTCTCTTCTTTTCTTTGCTAATTTAATTTTCTTCTTTTCTTTTTTTTTCTTTTCTCTCTACTTTTTTAAGATTTACAGTTTTTCTAAGCTGTATCAGAAAAAAGGTCAATTTTAGTCAGATAAAGTACTTTATAATTGTCAATTATCTAACAGTTGTGAAAATTGGCTTTCGTCAGATGAAAAAAAAAAACTGTTTGAATTTTCGACTCAGTAGAAAAGTTCATTTTTAGTCAGACATTAATTTTTTAAATTTTCTATTAGTAGAAAGGGTCAATTTCAGTCAGACATTGTACTTTATAATTGTTATTTTTCTAACAGTTTAGTAAAAATCGGCTTTAGTAAAATGACGTTTTAAACTGTTTGGATTTTCGACTCAGTAGAAAAGTTCATTTTTAGTTAGACATTTTTTTTTAAATTTTCTATCAGTAGAAAGGGTCAATTTCAGTCAGACATTGTACTTTACAATTGTAATTTTTCTAACAGTGGTAAAAATCTGCTTTTGTCAGACGACGATTTAAACTGTTTGAATTTTTGACTCAGTAGAAAAGTTCATTTTTAGTCAGACATTCTTTTTAATTTTCTATCAGTAGAAAGGGTTAATTTCAGTCAGACATTGTATTTTATAATTCTAATTTTTGTAACAGTAGTTTTTTCTTTTTCTACCTTTTTCTTTTCATTTAATTTTGCTTCTTTTCTTTGTTCGTTTCATTTTCTTCTTTTCTTTCTACATTGTTAATGATTAGTTCTCCTTTCTTTTTTTCCCTTTTCTCCCTTTTTCCCTTTTTTTCTTTTTTCTCCTCTCTTTACGTCTAATTGTTTTTTTTTTGTCTCTATTTTGTTGTTATTTATTTTTATTGTTACTAAATTCTTTTTCATCATCTTTTTTTGTTTCTTTTTCTATTCTGTTTCCTTTTCTTTTTTTTTATTTCTTTATTCATAGCAAATTCTTTTTTTCTAGTTTTTCTTTTTTCCGCTACTTCTTTATTTCTCGTTCTCTTCTTTCCTTTCCCATTTCCCTTCTTTTGCTCCATTCGTCTCGAATTCTTCATAACAAAGTCTTTCCCTTTTTTTGCTATTTTTCCTTTTCTCCTTCTTCTTTCTCGTTCTTACATTCTTTCCACTATGTCACTATTTTCATTCTCTCTTCTTATATAAATAACTAATTTTTCACCTTAATACTTTTTCCTTCTCTTTTTAACTTTACCTTTGTCATTTAAATTACATTTAAATACTAATTATGTTTCATAAAAAAAGTGTCAAGTTTTTCCTAAAGTGTTTATTTCCATTCTATTTTCTTTTTCATGTATTTTTTTGCTTTTTGAGGGTGGGGGGGTTGACTAATTAAAAAACCGGATTTTTCATTTACTCTTTCTATATCTATACAGTAGAGTAACATAGAGATTTATTCTCTCTCTCTCTCTCTCTTTCTCATTCTCTCATTCACTCATCGCCGTTGGCTTAAAGCAAAATATGCGTATACGATTGCGGGATATTCGTATCTGCACGTATTTATATGCGTATATTTCGCAGAGAATTATATATCTATACAGTACACGCCTCCAGTTGGCTGGCTACTTGGGTAGGGGTGTCGGTGATGGTTGGTCTGGTTGGCTGATAGAGGCGCATCCTCCACGGCATCTCTCTTGCATTTTCCTCTCCCGTATTTCGATCCATCCGCGAATAGCACACAGTCACTGGAATAACCAGTGCCCTGTCACAGTATATATACATATATGTATCAGTATCCTACTGGTAATGGTGTCAGTACTTGTGGTTCTGGTTTTCCGCAGCCTCAGGCTTATACGTGCCTAATGAACCGTGTAATGACGCCGCGACGCCCAGCATCTCTGTACCACTTTTTCGATTTACATCCCGCACTTCACGCCCCTTTTTTCAAGATTCTCTTTTTCCATCTCTAAAATTATATCTCCAATTTTTTTTATTCCCCTTTTACTTTGTTTCTAATCTTTTAGAGACTTTTTCCCTATACCTTGCTTCTTTAGTATTTGCAGATTTAATGATTATAAAAAAAAGCGTTTTCTATCAATGAGGAAATTTTTTTCTTATCATTAAGACAAGTTTTGTTTGTATTAAAAATGAAATTTGCGATGGATTTTTGAAAAGGGTTTGAAACGTTAGTACACGGAAAAAATTTTGGTGCACCAGTCGTTCCTACTAGTGCACGAGCTATACCAAACCGCAGGACGAATATTACCCTAGCGCTTGGTATAGCGGACGTACCGTTTTGTGACAGCAGGCGCACCCTTTTGGTGAGCCCTCTGCATTATTGCAATAGAGCAGACGATATACTTAATTTTGGTACCACTGCTTTACCGTCGTTTTTCCGTTTTCTTTTTAGTGCATATCATTGTGCGGATTTTTATATTCAATAAATAATTTTAAAGTGGAGTGTTTTGAATGATTCAATGATAAATATATTGAAAAGGAGATATTGAAGACTGGACATATTGAAGATTTAATACTTGTAAGTATATATATAATTAAATCTATATTTGCAGTAAAAATGGTTTTCGGCATTGTGAATTTAGTTTTTCAATGTGATGTTATGGATTTAAAAGTCTAATCATAATTATTATTCGGATAAAAATTATTATCATTAATTCTATTAAATATTATTTTCAATCTTTGCTGTAAAAATTTTCTATTGCAAAACAGTAAAAATTATGAACATTCACAAGAAACAATAACGTAAACAAAAGGATTGAAAAACATAACCTACAATTAACGAGAAATAATAGAACTTACATTTCTTGACAAATTTATATTAAAGAAACAAAAGTAATGACTAATTAATAAATATTATAAATAAAAAAATGTTTATTAGTATAATAAATGATAATAATAGAAAAAAATTACTATTATCTAGTTTTTTGATAATAAACCTCTCACATAAGAATGCAAATCTCTCACTTTACTAATTTTTTATGCAATTTTATGATTCACGTATCGATTTTGATTTTTTCGGAAGCAAAATATGTCGGAAGATGCTGCAGACGGTATTAATTCCCAACGTATGGAGATTGATAATGGCTTCGACTTGTCAAATAATGGCGAATTAAGTGAAAATGAGAATTCGATTAATGTGTCACAAGGTGACAAAGAATCACAAGGTTTTCGATAATAGAAATTTGAATTCTCATAATTTATTGGTTAATTTATATATTTATTTGCATTTTAATCATTGTATACATTTTTCAGATAATTTTACTTTTGAAGAAAACGATTTATTTCATTTTCTTAATTCCACTTTAGAAGGTCAGATAGTTTTAAGGAAATATAAAATTACTGGTAATCTCGATTATGTCAGACTTAAAGATTTGATAATTATGAGGGAGATAAAAAAAGATCCTATTAACTATTCGTAAGTCCATTTAGTCTCAGCGTAAATCAAATGCATTTACTTAATTTAAAGGAACACATTCCTCTATAAGAGCCGTTGGATAATTTATGTGATTTTTTTTGTGAGGAGTTTTATTGATTTTTTGTCTAATTTGATGAATAGAAAAGTATTTATTTTTTTAGAATAAAAAGAAGAAGGTTTATTGAATTAAAAGAGCAATTAGAACAATTGTTTCCTACAGAAGATTCTAGCTTATTTTATATTCCGAGCAGCGAAACTGCGGATAAAGAATCTATGAGTGCCAGAGGGTGTTTATACAATTATTATAAAATAATCAGGAAAGAGTTGCGTGACGTGAGACTCTTATCCAAATCGCAAAATAAGAATTCTTCTTCTGATAACGTCAGTTCTGTCTGTAAGATGGAAGATTTTTTAATTTGTTTTTTAAAAATGTTTTTTAATATTGAAGTATTTTATGTTATTCCGTTGTGTGTGTATATATATAGGTATTCAAACTAGTGATTTCGAATCTTTGACAAGTCAAAATGGAGAGGCATATTCTATTGCAAAGGTTACCAAAAATTGGGAGGAAACATACAGTCATCGTATGAAGCTGCTTGTCTCACATTCAAAAAAAAACTCCACACCTTTAGAAGTGTATTTTAAAACATTTCCGCGACTCAAATCTCCACTTGGCTTACCTTTGGTTATAACTTTAAATTTCTTACTAATGTTTATTATACGTGAATATATGGGTTTATATTTTATTTTAATTCTATTTTTATTATTTTTAATAAACTTTTACTCATAAAATTGCAAGATTTTACATTTATATTTTATTGTTCTATTTTTAACTTATCTTTTTAAATTTAATTGTTTAATGGTAAATTTTTTCTTGTAGCTTGAACAAGATTGCCGAAGGATATTTCAAGAAATCGCCAAAGAGAATAACGAACTGCGTCAACTGATTCAAAATAATCCCAATCACGCAATATTTGCTGCACAATGGCCAACACTAGCAAAAAAAATAGTTGTGTATTGTAAGAAGAGCAAAGCTGCTGATGTTAAAGTTTTTCTTCAGTCACATGAAAATTTATTCCAAGGAGGTATATAAATCATTATTTTTTAGTTCCATTTAAATTTTAAAACCTACTATTTTTTTCAAAATAAATATTAACGAAAAATATATGCATTTTACAGGTAGCAACGATAATGTTCTAGCTCTATTGCTACTACCCCTAATTATCAGAGGAACAAAAAAATTGAAAGTTGACTCGAAAAGTATTAATGTAACAAAAGAAGAGATAGCGAAAGCTTTTATTTTACACATTGAGGTAAATGAAATATATTTACTTCATTTTTTATACCGTAGCGTTAATCATATTCTATTTTCAACCATTTTCTTTTTTTACAGAACTTTGAGAACGTAATTGCTGGTCAATTTGAATTTGAAACTTGGTTGACTTCTTTAAATTTGCAAATTCATCCATACGTTACAATAGTAGGAAGCTTGGAGACCCCTCAAATTTATCTAAAGTTGAATGGAGAAAATTATAATTTTCAAGATCCATTAAAAGCACTCGAAAGTTGCTACAGATGTCTAACAGCACTACATTCGTTCCCGTTCCTTTGTGATTTTGTTTGGACCTTTATTGACAAAGCGGTATATAAAATTTGTAATAGAAAAATCAGCTCCTGGGTCACCAAATTATTGGTCGATATTAACAAATAAGTTTTCAACAATTGCCAAAAAAAGTTCTATGAAAATTGTTTTTAAAGTTATATTTTTGTAAAAATATGGATATTGTTTATCTATTAAATAGTGTTTTAACATTAATTTTATTTCTTTATGGTGACCCCAATCTTCCGAGAAAATTAGTTGACGATGTAATCATTTTTATTCGAGATTTCCTACGTAATGTTTTTTTATCATCGCTCAAAAAAGATATTTTATTAATTCTCAAAAACGAAAATTTGACCGCTTTTACATTAAATGAGATCGATCGCTGTTTTTCGGAGTATGGCAATATTTTCGAATATGTTGAAACAGAATCAAAAAGATTTAACCTCTTGAAAAAGAGGGGTCTTATTGATAGCGAAGAATTTAAAATCGGAATAACGTTCTCGGAAAAAATTGTCGATAATGATATTGCTTTAGTCCCAGAAGAAGTAAACGGCGTGTGCATTCCATTAAGAAAGAGTTTTAAAATGTTTCTTGAAATACCTGGTTTGTTTGACCAAATTTTGCAGTACATGAAAACACTTTATCAAGAATCTCACATTTGTCGAATATTATCCAAGCAGAGGTATGGAAAAATATTTATGCTGATGGAATAAACAGTGATATCGTTCTTCCATTGTATATATTTTACGACGATTTAGAGGTTGGGAATGCGCTTGGTGCACATGCTGGTGTTAATAAGTTTGCAGCTATTTATGCCTCAATAGCTTGTCTACCACCGAATATTTCATCGCACTTAAATACCATTCTTTTCTCTACGCTCTTATATTCATCAGATAAAATTCTATGTGGCAATAAAAAAGTGTTCGAAAAGTTAATTCAAGAATTAAATTATTTAAGAACAGAAGGTATTGTAATAAATATTAAAAATGTCGTCAAACGAGTAAAGTTTCAATTAGTTTTAGTCTTAGGAGACAATTTAGGCTTGAATCAAATTCTAGGATTTGTCGAATCATTTAGGACCGATTTTTTTTGCAGAATATGCAATGCAACTTTAAAAGAATCTGAGGAAATGTGTGTAGAAGATAAGACAAAGATAAGAACTAAAGAGGATTATGAAAATGGTATGCATGATGGTGTTAAAGAATCGTGTGTGTTTAATGAAGTGAATGGTTTTCATGTTATGGACAATGTAACTGTAGATTCAATGCACGACGTGTTTGAGGGTGTATGTTTCTACGTTTTAAAAAATCTCATAAATACTTTTGTTTCTAGACCCGATTATTATTTTTCTCTCGAAACTCTGAATACTCGAATTCAAAACTTTGACTTTGGTTTAATGGGAAATGCGAATAGACCACCACCAATTTCCAAACATCGATTGACAAAAAAATGTAATTTGAAAATGTCCGCATCTGAGATGCTAAATCTTGTTCGATGTTTCGGAATGATCATTGGCGATCGAGTACCAGAAAATGATAAATATTGGCAATTGTTTATGTATCTGCGTCAAATTGTTGATATTTTGTTGTCACCACGTGTAGTTCGAAGCGATGCGCAAACCTTAAGTAACTTGATCGAAAAAATGAACAAACTTTACATAGAATTATATGGAAAACTCAAACCAAAATTTCACATTTTAATACATTATCCAACAATTTTACTCAGAAATGGACCTGTTGTAAATTTCTGGGCTATGAGATACGAATCCAATCATCGGTCAATCAAATGTACAGCCCAATCAACAAGTTGTAAAAAAAATCTACTACAAACAATTGCAGTTAAACAATCTTTAAAAATGTGTGAAATGATGCACAATTTGAACTTTGAACCATTTACAAAGTATGGAGATGTTAACGATTCCAGAGAAACAAAAAATTACTTTTTAAATGAAAATGAGAACAATTCTTGTAAATATTATAAACAAGTCACAATAAACGGCATTAATTATGAAATTGGAACATTTTTAGTTTCAAGTATGCAAGAAAGTGAAATAGAGTTCATCGAAATAGTAGATATAGTTTTGCTACAGAACGAAGTTTATTTTTACGTTAACACATTTACAGAAATTACATTTGATTATCATTATCATGCATACATTGTCGAATGTACGCATGAAAAGAAAATTCTAAAACAAAAAGACTTGCCTAGAATTGCACCCGCCTTATCAATTATAAAAGAAAACGCACACTTTATTGTCACCCGCTATGGATTATAATTAGAATACTTCGACAAAAGTTATTAATTTTATTTAAATAAATGTTTAAAATATTCTAAAATTGTTTTTCACTTTATCTTTTACCATCTTGTTAATTATATATTTTTATTTCAGCATTTGATATTTTTTAAAAATAAATGTTAGCTTACATGATACAAAAATTAAATTTAAGTAAAAAATTCTATTTAATAAAATATTTATTATGTAGCATTAATTAATAATTAATAATAAATAAATTAAAAGTAATTTATAATTACTAATTATAAATTATAGAATTAGAAAAAATTCATAGGTACATATAAAAATATTTATAATAATTATTTTCTATTTCTTTCACTTTTTTGTATTCTAATTTATTAATTAAATATAATTTTTCTAATAGTTTCATAATTTCCACTATATAATTATTTAATGTTATTAAACATATAGAGAATAGTTTTTTTATAAAAAAATTAGTAATTAATTCTTGTACTTTTTATTTCACTGCACTCTTTAAAGGTTAATTTGTCATAAGTTTTAAATTCTTTATATCTATTTTTTAAAAATAATATTGGTGTGAAAACTTCAAATTTTTAGAAATTATTATATACTTATAGATAATTAATGGTATATTTAAACTTAAACAGTTGTACAATATGAAAAAAGCCACAAATTTATATACACAAGTAAATCATTTTGTTGGTTAATATATTTTCGATAGTGGGGTATATGTTGACTAATTTCAAGTGCATGAGTGGTGCCATGTGCTTGGGACAAGAGATATCCCTTTACTTGGTGCATCTCAGCTCCCAGTTTTGGAATTTCGCTTGTACCAAGACAGTAGTACCAGCGCTGTACGACACTAGGTGGCTCTCAAGCACCAAAATTTTTTCCGTGTAGTGAGAGTCGTTTTCAGACAGACGACTATGTCAAAAAATAATAGATTTGTCAGTAGGAACCTTAGAAAGTGACATTTTACGTTAGACATGACTTTCTGGAATAATTACTTTTTGATATAATAAAATTTTAATAATAAATTAATTAAATTAATTAAATAATACTTTTAATTTTAATAATCATTTTTTTACTTATTTACTACCTACTTTAATAATTACTGTTTAATAGTGAAATATGTAATTCTAACTTTTTTGTATTTAATGTTTTTTTACTATTTTTTTCTATTTTAGAGGCGAATGCACTTTTTCAAAATTTATTGTTAACTTTCTTTGTAAACTATCTTAGTAGTAAAAAATAGTTTAGTAACTAAGGTAATTTTTGCATAAGTAGAAAAATCTTTTTCTATCAGACAGAAACTTTTTGTTTACTTTAATTTTGCTGCCAGTGGTAAAAGCCTAAAATGTAAAATGTTATTACTACGACTAATTTACATATTTTATCAGATGTAAAATTTATATTTAGTTAGACGTTTAATTTTTTTTTTATTATTTATCAGTAGAAGCGGTCAATTTCAGTCAGACATTGTACTTTATAATTGCAATTTTCCTAACAATTAAACTATTTGAATTCTTGAATCAGTAGAATAGTTCAGTTTTAGTCAGACATTTAGAAATTTTTATTCTCTATCAGTAGAAGGAGACAATTTTAATTTTCAATCAGATATCGTACTTTATAGTTGTAATTTATATCTACTTTAGTCAGTCGATTTTTGAAACTGTTTAATATTTAAATCAGTAGAAAAGTACAGTTTCAGTCAGACAATTAAAAGTGTTAATTTATCTATGAGTAGAAAAGGTCAATTTCAGTCAGATATTGTACTTTATAATTGCAATTTTTTTAACAGTAGTAAAAGTAAGCTTTAGTC